ACTGAACCGGAACCGAACCAAAAAAAATATAACTGTAACCGGTTCAAAACGGTTCAAGGTAATATTTCTTTTTTTTTTCTTTTTTGTTAGTATCACAAAATGGACATGTGGGAATAAAAAATTGGCGGCTGTATTTTTATCTATGGATCAAATCGTCATATACAGAATTGAAAAGTATGGTAAGTTGTGGGTTTTCATGGCAATATGATTAACCATGTGTCACGTTGTCACGTGACATCATGGTGTCAATACATGTTGTCACGTGACCTCGTGACGTCACGTGACTCACTGCGTCAACTCGATTTAATTTGAGGAAGTCACTAAATGTATTAACATTGTTGACAGCATGACGTAACATGACACCACAATTTCGCACAGAGAGTCACGTGACACCGTGACGTAAGCGATTTACATAACCCCTGGTCGAGTGCTCGGGTTCATGACAATGAGCACCGCCAAACATTCGGGTAACGGCTCATGTCAATTACATATGATAATAGCCCAACTCTAACAGTATCTCAAGCTCAGCGCAAGCTTTTGCTTTCGAAACCCTAGCCGCCTAGAACATGACTGTGATGAACACTGGCGGTATCAGATCACGTGGCCGCTTGTTTATAGTGCGAGTTGAGGAGATATCGAGAGCTGGTCTCTTTCCTTTATTTTTTCTGCATCTGCTATTAGGGGGAAACTAATCGATGTTTCCGCAAGCTATCAACGTTAGGGGTTATTTCTTAACACTATTTATTGAAAGTACAAGAAAAATTGTTGCAAGACCCATTTTACATTATTGAGCACCCAAATATTTTTTCGTTGTTGCTGAACTGCATCCAAAAGATGTCTCTGAGAATAGAAGTACTGAAATTACTAAATGCGACTTATTAATATGACGTTACATAGAACTACATGTGTGTACGGGAGGAGTACTAAAAAAAAAGATATTTTAGTGACCTCAGACAGACAGCCGAACGTCGGCGGTCGCTGTAAGTCTCACACGAGCGTCGTTCTCAAGGTATTGCCCAAGTTTAGACTCCCTCTGTACTTTGCTTAAAGGAGCTATAAAAATATTTCTATACATCACTAAATACTATTCAGGATCACTCCCGAACGTTAATAACTGCTTGAACTTGGCTTTGCTCTTTTTTGTAGGCAATGGCAGTCGCCAAAAAATTCGAGAAATATGAGCATCGTTCATCCCCTCAACTCGGAGCCAAAAGCGGCCATGTGGCCTGGTGCCTATCTTATGCCGCCAACGTTAATCATACCCCCGCGCTTGGGTTTTAAACGAACAAAACGCGTGCTTAGCTCCAGGCATTGTTAAAGTTCGGCTATTCTCATCACCGCACTGGTTGGACACGAACCACTACCCAAGTGTCTGCCAAGACATTGATTGTTACGAGCCGATGTACGATGCTCACGCAGTCCTCCTGTCCAATTCATGAGCCGTGCTCGACTGTCGTCAGGCAGGTGGTTTTGATCCTACAATTGCTACATCAATCTTTGGGAAGGCAAGACTAAAAGACATAGTCTCATTTGATCCTCGCAATTTCACCGCCACAAAGAAGCTTCTGAATTAGTGGCGGTCTGTGCGAGTAAACTTGGGCCAGACTAGGATCAATACGCCTCGGAAGAGTCATGAACATTCCAACCCGATGTCGTTTTATGACCCATCTAAACTTCACGGGGTGCAAAATAAAAGCAATGAAGGGTTGCCGTTAACAAGTGTCAAATAAAATTGTCGAATCAACACACACCAACGGAGGAGGCAACACGTCAGGAATGCTTTCAGCCTTTCCACTCTGGTGAAGAAGGAAGACCAGCGAAGCTGTATTATGGTGGAAATGAAGTAATGGCCGGCCGCAAGTCGGCAAGTCAGAGTGGAAAGTCTGGAGAGCTTGCCGCCATCTATGCGCGACGGCGGCAACCAGACAACCGGCAAGCCGGTTGTCTGGTAGTCGTCGTCATTTATAGATGGCGGTAGCTGTCCAGAGTTTAGTGTCATCATTTGTTTGCTGACGGACATGACACTGGGGAAACTAGCCCTTAGCAGCTCCGCTGTATAAAGAAGTGCGCGTGTGTGTGGGGGGGGGGGGGGGGGGGACGGGGGAGGGGGGAGGGGGAGGGGGGAGTTTCAAAAACATACTGTGTTGTAAAGGTTCCTCTTCCCTGCATCTTTGGCGCAGACCAAAAAGCGTGACTCCGGAAACTACTTTGCTTGCAAAAACGCTCTTACCAAAAAGCACGTTTTCGTCGTGTCAGACGCTCGCGCCGTTCCTAGTGAAAAGCATCTGACTCGCAACTAAAGGGTCGTGGGTTCGAAACCCCCCTAAAGTTCTTAATTTTTTTCCTTTAAGGCAAAATAATTACTTTTAAAAGTGAAATCATTTGAGACATACGGTGACCTTTAATTCGCATTACATGTCATGTTTTAATCACTCTCATTCCACGCGTTATGTCGCGTTTCACGTGAGCATTGTGGGTTGCTTGAACTTCTTGCGCGAGGGTATGTAGCTCTGACGTATGAACCTATCGACCAATCAGGATTTTCCAGTCACGCCACTGACATCGGCTATTCTGCGACAAGAGTTCCTTAACGCTATCGAGTAAAAATCATCAGTTAGCAACGGTGATGCTCATTTGCAAATTAAATTGACCGGCATCTTGTCAAGAACAAACCTCAACAGCCAGACTATGCCAGCTTATTCTGCATAAGAAAATGTTCACTTGGGCAAGCGCTATTTTCGGCCAGATTCGATCTGAGTGCGAAGGTGCATATAGATTAGAGTGAACAATTGCGACTACTTCTTGCTGCATGATTAGTGGCATGCATGCGGTGCTGAGTGTAAACAATGTTGGGTTAGAACAACAAGCTTTTGAATTGCCGCTCGGTGTCTCGATAAAAAATAGACTGAAAGGAATTATCCTAAAACTTTTGTTAAATTCTGAAAATTTCATTGCTTTAGCTCAGTTGTGTCATCATCATAAACATATATATTGTGAAGTGTATTTCGTAAACCTTATTTCATAATTAGCATGAGCACCGAGGAGCTCACTTCATAATTTTATGTGATGTAATTAATTCCTTAGTTCAAGGACACAATCACGATTTCATTTTTAACACTGCGACACAAAGTTGTACCAAACACGGGTATTTTAGGCGACCTACCACACTTTGCGACAACATTTTATACCGTGTAAATAGATCAGCTTGAATTTTAGAATTTTACTTAAACACGAAGAAAGCACAATAAAACACAGTATAGTTCTAAATTTGAAGCTGATCTAATTACAGGTATTTACCAACCAGCTCAACTCTTTACTCTTGTACTTAAACATTTTGATTCAGGTAAAATATATGTTACTGGTAAACAAAGGGATGTGGAGTCGTATGAACACGACGTTATGTATGTTAAAGTAAATTTTTTTTTACCTTTGCGTCAAAATTATAGCTGAATTTAATATTTTTGGTACCTAAGAAACAAAAGTAAATTGCACAGACGATCGAAGAAACTATATAGTTCATCGTTTCACGGCGTAAATTGTGTATATTGCCAGAAGAACGCGAAAAATATATTCTCAATTTAGCGGTTCCAACCGGTTCGAACCGGTTCGAACCGGTTTGAACCGTTATTTTTTGCTTCCCGGAACTGAACTGGAACCGAACCGAAAGCCGTGAACCCGAACCGGAACCGAACCGATAAAATTTTCGGTTCGACACTCTGCCTGCAGAGGCATACGGGGCCCATAACAGCGATAGCCGTCATGGGCTCTTCCCCCCAGTGGAAATGACATCCGTCGTTGATGTATCACCTGTCGGTACTGATGTTGCAGTTGGCGGTGTAAGGCGTCCGTCGTCCATGTTGCCAAATCATTGAAAGGAATCGTCCGCCACAGCGTTAATAACCCGCTCTGTACTTCGAACTTGTTAGTGCCGGGTGCCCACTCAAAACGAAGTGAATTGGAGCTTTGTATGTATATATGTGAAAATAGGCTAGGGCTTATTTTATAGAGGCTAAGATTGTGCTTCTAATGGCTGTTACAAGAACTACCATTCAGTACCAGTTTGAATGCCCGTAAGAAGGCATACAGGAATTAGCTACCCATTTCGGATTCCTATAGGCAAGTGTATAGAAAATACTTTCCTGTAAGGCTTCCTGTATTAAAACCAAACAGGAAGTTCCTTCCTGGAAGACGTCCTGTATAAAAATTTACAGAAAATGAGTTCCTGTGTGACTTCCCACAAAAATGTATGCAGGAAATGGCTTCCCGTATGCCTTCCCACAAAAGGGTATACAGGAAATGCCTTTTTGTAAAATTTTCTGTATGAATGTAAATGGAAATTTCCAATGGGGTCGGGTTCCTGTTTCGCGGCTTTCTAATTTTTGTTGTCGCACACCTCCTCGTGCGTAATTCTCGTCCAAGAGAAAAAAAAATTGAGATATTGGCCTGGATCTTTCGGAATTAAGCGTACAATGAAAGAACAACCGCTACATTGGGGCTCACTCACTCGAGATTTTGCGATACAATATTACCTACGAAGTCGAAAGTCACAGATTTGCTATCAAACCGGGTTCATTTTGGGCGCTCGTTCAGACAGGAATGCTTCTTTGCATAGAGGAATGAATACAATCTAATAGCGTCGATCAGATCCACCGTAGAGAATTCCGTGGCTCTTTCTCCATGGCCTCTGCCGCGAACCGACGTTACTTATAGCAGATCTAGTAAGGGTGCCGCGAATGAACGGGCATGTATGTTGCAACACCCACAGAAGTGCCAGATGTCCCAGGCGCCGCTGACTAGTTCAGTTGCCAGGTGACTCTGCGACCGATCCGAAATATTGTCTGAAAACGACTGCCCCGAACCGTTCGCTTGTGTGACAAAAAGCTGTCGCGCGACCGTTCAAATTTGCAAGAGCGCCATTTAAATGCACTTGTTTTGTGCTCCAGATGCGGGTTGCCTTCTCTGAGAGGTAAATACACTAGGATGCATATACTTGTACTTGCCTATCCAGTAACTGCTCCCGCTTGCTCCAAATCTAAGCTCATAATCTCGTTCGTGTTTCTCGAAGTTGTTGTCGTTGACTTCATATTTGGTTCGTTGTTGAATCACCTGTAAGTCGATAGATGAGTCAGCGCGAAGGAAGTGAGAATGTACCCGCTTTTGTCCCGCCGGTTTTGGGCACCAGCTATTCTCCGTTTCACTAAAACCGTGCAGTACATGGAGAGAGTGTATCCTGACCTGGCCAAGAGGAGAGAAAGGAGGGACGGAGGAATCCGAGCTCTCCTCTACCGCTCCTCCTTTCCCTTCTCTTGAACAGAATGGCATACGCTCTCTTCCTTTAGCCGTGGCTGTACTGCACGGTTTTAGTAAGACAGAGTATACACACGTTTTACGGTAAATTGGCAGACGAAGAAGACTACGGTCCCGGTGAGCCAATTAACGTCTAAGAGAGAGACACGTGACTGAGCTCAATCCCCTTAGACTCGCAGTAACACCAAAAAGAAAGAAAAAACGGAAGTTTTGCGCATTGTTCACACGTCGCGCAAAGTTTTTACAAGATTTGATTGTTAGAGGCAGAAGCGACGCTTTTGGTGCTTAAAACGTTCACGTCTGGATAAGATAATATACATATATTCTTAAAGGCGTCTCCATATACCGTAACTCTCCACAATAGGGGCAAATGCAGAATGTTCCGGGACGAGCTGGAATTTTTGTTTTGTTTTACTATGGGGTGTTTTTAAGTCAGATAGTACAATGATGGTCTGGCTCATATTTGTTACGTTTGCGAAAAAAGAAAAAAATGATATATATATATATATATACATATATATATATATATATATATATATATATATATATATATATATATATGAAAGCCATATGTTCTTGGTAAGCGCATTCAGATTTGTGCGACCACCGTAGCTAATTTTCTTCCGGAGATACAGAATTCCGAAGCTCGAGGTATGGGGAAGGTTTCGCTACGATATATTGCACAGCCGTCAACTTCACACCGAAGCATGCACGTAGTTATAATTCTTTCAATTTCTTTTATGAAAGGTTTACGATGTGTGCACTGAGTAGTAAAAGTTACAATAAAAGTGAACCACAAAAAAAAAAGTTACGAAACACATCTAATAAACAGGTTTCAGAGACACGTCCTCAAATTATTTACAAACGAAGTACTACGGGTAAAATGACGCACAATATAACAAAGTGATTACCTTTAAATGCGTGTCACGAGTATATAAGAACAATATGGTTAGCAGTCCTTTTAGTTTTGTTATTAATACATAAACTCTGCTAATTTCACTAGATGTGGCACAATTGTGCTTCAATAATAATTAAAAAAAGACTCCAGTTTGTACTTTTTTAAACTCAGATTACAATGACTTAAACTCAATAGTGATGGCAAAACATTTAAAGGGTAACTGCAAAAAAAAAACATTAAACAGCCTAATTGGGAAAAGCATGTCACAAAACAAATGTTCCTCAAAAAAATAAATTTCTTTGGCAATATTTACGCCACAGGACGTAAATTAGTCGGAGTCAGAACCTCAGCACATTTGAAACTCCCGCTCTTTCAACCCGCGCGGAGGAGTAGTACGCCCCGCCCCTCACTCTTGCATTTTCTCTTGGATTGACTTGGCTGCGGAGTTGAACGACGCAGCGTCTCGACTTCGGGTAGGATCTGGCAGCAACGCACGTTGAACATGGCTCCGGTATTGTTTTGGTTTGACGGGACGCGAGAAGCTCTGCGGTTTCCGAGCACATGTAGCGAAGACGTGACCGGAGAAGTGTCCCTGTGATGTTCCCGTAAGACAGAAAGTATCATTCGTAATCGTCGTGTGTCCTTTGAAAGCGAAGGGTCCACGAGTGCGCAACCACTAGCCAAGGTTCACGACAGCGCTGCGTTGACTTCGGCGATCTCGTTCTGTTTGGTGCAACACGGCGATGCGACCGAGCTGAAACGTTCGTGGTGTGTGGTGTGGTGCCCTTGGAGGTAGAAACCCACACTAACACGGAGCGCAAATTGGTTGTTGTGGGGTTGAGGTTCAACGGGTTCAATCCCGTCGTCGTTAGCTGACCCAGTCAAGCTGGTCCGGGAGGACGCAGCGAGCGTTTTTAAAAGTAAATCTTCGTTCGTTCCCTTTCAAAATGTGGATGATTCGTGACGTTTACCCTGAGTAAAAAGCTGCGGACATTTTCAACAAAATTACGTCGTTTTAATTGAATAATGATCTCCAAATTGTTGTCGTAAATCTGCCCTTTTTATGCTTCGCGTTGTTGGACTGCGTTTGCACAGCTACGTGTTTGCACAGGGACGCACACCACTGGAGTAGATGATTCCGTTTGCAAACGACCGGTTATACCGAATCTCAGGGAAACACCACCCATATTTTCTTCGAAATCTCGTGCGAGTTTGTTGCGCTCATTATGCGGTGTGAATAAATTTGGGAAATATTTCCTACCCGCCCACATATGCATGAACTGAGACAATTTTTTACGTAGTGCTTTTCATTCTGAGAAAAGGCGTTGGTGCATTTATTAAAGTACAATTACTTGAAAGAAAAGAAATTGGGGAGGGCGAGCAAGCTTTCCCAACTTTGTCTCTTTGCTCTCCGGCACTGCCCCTAGTTTCAGGTTCCAGTTTCAGTAGGCATACCTACTAGCAGGTACAAACTGCTCTAGGGCAGGTAAAAGACTGGAAAGCCGGGACGGTGCGGACTCCGTGTTTCGCGCTTTTCGCAAGGTGACTGGGGAAGTGCTTTTGCAAGGTGTGTGAAATATGCAACTGAATTTGTTATGCCCGTCGTTGGCGAAGCCGCTATAACAAGGCAAGATTTACGATAAGAGTTCACATTCATTCAAACAACTTTACGTAAGATGGTTTGGAAGCCGAGAAAAAAAAACATCTGGCGGCTAATGCAGAATTCGGATGTCCGAAGGCGCCTGCGGTTAGCTGTTACGAATTAATCTGGCTGTGCCAGGTTTTTTACGTAATGGTAGTGCCTCAGTCGCGGACGTTCGGTGCACCCGGCGCGTATTTCAAAGGCCTCCGGAGCGAAATGGCGAAAACATGTTTGTCGCGACGTGAACGCCTGATTGCCTCCAGCCAAATAGCATTTCCTTTCGGGGCGACATGGTTGCTGGAATGCTCGCTGTCGCGATCACTCATCTGGCAGCAGTTTACAGAACAACGGCGCCGCTTTACAGGAGGTGACATCTCCAAAAAGTCAGCATTTGCACGCGCAAGCAAAGAAAAAAAAATAAACACGCTAAGAAAGCAAAGGGAAACACGAAAGTAACAGACCGCGCTATGAAAGCCAGAACCTCGCGCCCATTCCTATCGCTAACACCTGAAACAGTGGCTAAACACATGCTTCTTCACTTCAGAGTCTCACTCAAGCACCTGGGTCGAAACGAAACACTGATCACTTCGGCGAAACGACTAGTCGAGGTAGGCGAGACAGGCGGGAGCAGAGACTTCGGCGGCCATGAAAGAATGGCGAAGCTTTTGTTTGTTATGGTATGAATCCAAACGGAAGTGCCCGTCTTGTAAACCTTTTGTAAGGAATAATAACTCTCATCACATGGGTTATTCCTTAAACGTAGAAATATTCCGCTCAAAAGAAAATTACAACATATAACAAAAGTTTAACAACCAAGAACTAGGCTGTCAATCATACTCTTAGCCAATGAGAAGTATCGCAGCCAATTGTTGCTAAACGTCCCGGAACACCAACTTTGTGGCGCGCGATATAAAACGAACGAAAGAACCGCAAACTTAAATCAGTCTCACGCAATAATTATTGCTGTAATTTTGTTTTCTCGCAGAAAAATTGTTTTTGGACATGCTTGTCCAAATTAGCAGGTTTAAAAAAAAAAAGATTTTTTTTTTTTTATAGTTGCCATTTAAGGGAAAAACGACACGTTCACTCAAATTGAGGTATTTGTATTCGTTAAAGAGGCTTTGTCGCAAGACGTCGGCTCCAATGACACATTTTCTAGAACCGACAGAGGCTGTACAGCGGCTGCGCTCTATCGTGCGCCGTAGAAGATTATGGTGTCCCTCGTGCACCTTTATATTTTTCTTTCCTTGCGTTACCTTCTAAGACCTTCCCCCTTTTCAGAAGACGGCCAAGTTGTGTGGTTTTCATGGAGCGCCGTAAAAGGCTTTACATGCCTTATCTCTATAATTTGGGTGGATTTAATATATTTCATTTCAATAATGCTCACTATGTTTCTAATTAAAATACCTTTCAATTTATAAATTATAAGGTAAGTTATAAAAATTACACATTAACATAATAATATCCAACGCTTATCCCCCCCCCCCCCCCCCCTGAATTTGCTATTTGGCAGGAACCTACATCAATCCTTTTTCTGTGCAATGAGTACTTTTCACAGAAACGAGTTGGCACGCGTTTCGTGAAACATCTTATATGTATGTAAAGAATAAAGAAATACGCCAACCAAAAAGTCGAAAAATTCTCCCAACGTTTCGAAACAGTTGCTGATGTCAACATCAGCATACCCTACACAAAAGGGATAAGTGAAACACTATCCAGGATTTTTGCAAAAGAACACGTCACCGTGGCCCATAAACCTGTGACCACACTCGGGCGTTTTCTACCTCGGCCAAAAAGTCGTCTGCCCAAGGAAAGGGCCCAGGGTGTAATTTACCAAATATCCTGCACCCAGTGCCCCGCCTCCTACATTGGAGAAACTAAAAACTTCCAAGAACGGCTCCGTCAACACAAAAATGACGTACGCAACTTCGACCGCGAACGCAGTGCTCTGGCGGAGAACTGTGAAGTTAATGACCACCGTATCGGATTTGAAGATGCAAGCATTCTGGGTACTGAGACGAACCTACGCAGAAGACAGCTGATAGAATCCTGGCATATTCAAAACACCGCAAATAACATCAATAGGTCTCTAGGCACCTTACCCAGTTTATATGTTCATGGGTTACGAGATACAATCAAGACGGCGCAGGCGAAACGAAGACAACCAGCAATCGACAATGAAGAAGAAGAGATAGCCAGTTCAAAGAAAGACAAAGAAGCTATTATCCCGTTTAGTCGCCCCTGAGGAAGAAACCAACT